TCAAATATGGGAGAATGTTAGATTCATCCCTTTAGACCACCGTATGGCAACTAAGGAGCAAAATAACTTTTAAAGCTTCAAATATGGGAGAAAAGGAGATTCATCCCTTTAGACCACCGTATGGCAACTAAGGCCCTCCAGATGTTGGAGTTCAACATCCATAATGTTTTCAACATTTGCTATGTTGGCTCAAGCTGATAAGACCCCCAGCTCACTATCAAGAACAGATCGTAAATTCTCCACTCCAGCCCTAGTCAGGGGGTTTTGAGTGCTCCACTTTTAATAGTCGATGTATGGATCCATTTGTGTTCAACCATGTTAACAATATAGAATTCAGGTTGTCACTTCCTTTTCCTGCCAGGCTTCTAGTTGTTAACAGCTGTATGGTAAGTGGGATCAGCATAGTCTTCTCCATGCTGGAGGTAGCTGTACTCACTGAATTTTGCTGGTGCAGGTGGGTGAGAATTTCATTCCATTCAAAAATGTCTTCATAAATTGAGCCATATGATATTGTTTTAAGAACTCAAAATGTGAGAGAAAGCAAAATAAGCAGCTTTGTCTATTTCCTGTGTATTACCATGATATAGGATTGGAGGATATAGGATTAATCAAGAAGTAGGGTTGCTAGTGTTTGATCAAGATGCAGAATCTGTCTTTTCCAGGAAATATTGATCTGTAATAATTACTGGGTCCTAACATTTAGTTCAGAAATGTTCCACCTGTTGATTTTCATAAAAACAGGCAGTCAAGGCTGATTATTTTTACATTCAATTGGCAACCCCACAATGCACTGTGAAGGCTGGTCTCTCTTCTTTAACAGCAGAAATATGCACACTATAGAAGTGCAAACAAAGGAAAGGCTATGGGTTAAAGTGACTCACAAAATATGAATGGGGGGAAAGGGAAAATACAATGAAACCTTTGTTGAGTGGCTAGGTTGTAAAGCAGATGATACATTTTTATATTGCATTTATGCATGGTTGAATTATTTCATTAAAACTACTTACATACTAGCTCAAATCAATTTTATTTCCTCTATTCTGCCTCTGATGTTGTTGCAGCAGCCTCTAGTGGAAGGATTGCAAACACCTTCTTTTCTAGCACAGTCCATTAATACAGTGGTCCCCAACCTTGGGCCTCCAGATGTTCTTGGACTTCAACTCCCAGAAATCTTGGCCAGCCAAGGTGGTGGTGAAGGCTTCTGGGAATTGTAGTCCAAGAACATCTGGAGGCCCAAGGTTGGGGACCACTGCATTAATAGGCCAGTTATGATGATACAGGTGTGATTATAGCCTATGTATTTGAGTATTTTAGCCCCAAAGCAAGGAGAGTTGTGAATGCAGTGGAGATGTGAGGATGCACAGAAGTCTCCAGTGTCCTCCCTGGCTATCGATTAGTCCTTCATGCATTCAGCTTGAAGATCTGAAAAGGGGCTTGCAATTGCACTGACTTACCGTTCTATAACTGCTGAATACTCATAAAATCACCAGAAGAGTGGAAGGTAGGACCTACATGCATACATCTAGCTTCCCCATGATTGCTGGTCTTCCATGTTCAGGTTATAACACCTGAACAGGAATTATGAGATGGGTACAGCTCCTGAGATGCAGTCTGTGTACTGTAATTAATAGCACTGATGGAGACCTAATCTATTTCACTTGGCAGCTCTGAAGATAAAATGGAAAATCTCCATATATATCAGAAGGCTGGCAAAATGCACCCCTCCAGATGTTGATGCCTCCAACTCCTGCCATTCCTCAGGACTGGGAATGCTGGCTAATGCTAATTTTGGAGGGCCATGATTAGCCTACCCTTGATATATGGCAACATGACAATCTTGAAGGATGGCCGGGATACAATGGGAACACATCTGTGAATGGCCTTTAAGCATAATACACGAACAAACTTTAGTAAACTCTGAAGTCATTATTCATACAGTGTGATTGATCTATGTACATCAGTGGTTGCCAACCTTGGGTCCCCAGATGTTCTTGGACTAAAACTCTCAGAAACCAGGATTTTTGGGAGCTTTAGTTCAAGAACATCTGGGGATCCAAGTTTGGGAACCACTTATGTACATGGATGGTATCAAGAGGTGGAAACATCCATTAGCACTGCAGTTCCTTACACCATCTCCAAGGCAAGTGAAGGTTATAATGACTCCTGAAAAATAAGACTTCTGATTCCTGCTCACCAACACTTACCTTTGCATTCCTGAGCTCATTACTGCCAATCTTCCTCGGGAATAGCAGATCAAAGGAACTTGGAGGCAAAACTTACAATTTCTTCATTGAGTCTTGGGGAAAGGGAGATCTGCAAACATACATTTGGCCATGGAGGTTCTTTGTCTGCCTTGTGAGCTTCTTTTGTCCTTATTAGGGTTGGCTTGTGTCAAGATGTCAGTTGAAGTCTCAATAAACTATAATGCTTAACTGGGCCTCCAAAACAGGAAGACAAATCTCAGGGTGAGGAGAAAGCTGGAATTTGCATATGTTTGTGTGTTAGATGACTTTGAACCGTGGGCATCCCTTTCTATCCATTCTTGGCTGGTGCCAGAACTCACTTGTGTTTGTATGTAAGTGCCGTTTGTACATTCCCAGAAATGGAGGAGCAAGGGGAAGTGACGGGGGAGGGACCAGCATGATATCTCACGAGCCTTCTTGTTGCCAGCAAGCAGCAATGCAGGGCCTGGAAGAAATTCTCCTAATGCCATGTAGAGTAAGGCCATATTGGATGCAAGTATTAGCAGGAATGGTAGCAACTGCTGCCCAAAATGATCTAGATAGGCTTGAGGACTGGGCTGAAAACAACAGAATGAAATTCAACAGGGATAAATGCAAAGTACTGCACCTAGGAAGAAGAAACCAAAAATACATAGTTAATAAGATGGGGGAATACCTAGCTCAGCAATATTACAAGTGAGAAGGATCTTGGAATTGTTGTAGATCAGAAGCTGAATATGAGTCAACAGTGTGATGTGTCTACAAAAAAAGGCAAATGCAATTTTAGGCTGCATTAATAGAAGTCTAGTCTCCAAATCCTGCAATGCCCTATTTCCCCTGTATTCTGCACTGATAAGTCTTCATTTCAATACTGTGTCCAGTTCTGGACACTGCACTTCAAGAAGGATGCTAACAAATTGGAAGAAGTTCAGAGGAGGGCAACAAGGATGATTAGGGGGCTGGAAACCAAACCCTGTGAGGAAAGGCTGAACGAATTGGGCAGATTTAGCTTTGAGAAAAGAAGATAGAAGGCTGATATGATTATCTTTTGCAAATACTTGAAAGGCTGTCATAAAGAAGAGGGGCAGGATCTGTTCTCGATCATCCCAGAGTGCAGGACATGCAACAATGGGCTCAAGTTACAGGAAACCAGATTTTGGGTGAATATCAGGGAAAGTGTCCTAACTATCAGAGCAGTACAGCAATGAAATCAGTTACCTCAAGGTGTGGTGAGTGCTCCAACACTGGAGGCATTCAAGAGAAAATTAGACAACAATTTGATGAACGGTTTAGGGCCTCGATATCTGGCGGAACGCCTACTCCCACCAAGTTCTACCTGTGTCACTCGAGTGAGCCAGGAGATGAGGCTGAGGAGCCTAACGCCGAGGGAGGCCCGGAAGGAGAAGACAAGAAATCAGGCCTTCACGGCGGTGGCTCCTCGCCTCTGGAACAATCTACCTCCTGGGATTCGCGGGGCTCCCTCGCTGGGTATCTTCAAGAATCAATTGAAGACATGGATGTTCCGGCAGGCCTTTCCTCCAGACAATTCCTGATGTTTCTTTTCTTTTCCGCTGCTCTTGGTTTCTATTTTTGTAAAGTTTTCATTATTTACGTTGTTGTATGTATGTATACTTTTATTACCTGATGTTAGCCGCCTAGAGTGGTCCTGAGTTGGCTAGATAGGCGGGATATAAATAAAATAAATAATAATAATAATGATTCTATGATCTTGTCTTGCCTCCAAAAGTTTTGATTTTTCCCTCTCAATGCCATTTAACTTGTATTCCCTTCTGCCTGTTTCTACAACCAGCTCACTCAGAAACAGTTTTGGGGGCCCTCTCAACACTTGCCTGCCCTGCCTCTGTGAGATCTGCCAGCCTGAACATTCAGCCTGAACATTCAGCCTTGTGCTCTGCGTATAGGTTTTGCAGGGCACTGATGCTTGGGTTCTCAGGCTGCCAGGCTTTTCCATTTCCTGTGGACTTCCTATACATCACAAGAGCTACTGGGAACTTGATATTATTAAGCTTCTGGTGGGGCCTCACTGTTTTCCAAGTTGAGATGAGCAGCTGTGTTTATTAACACACTCTTGTAGCTGCGCATTGTGAGGGAAGATCTTTAGCTCAAACTGAGTTGTCTTCAAGGGAACCTTCTCTGCCATTGCTGATTGTTTCTGTTGGGAAACATGGCAAGTCTCCAAAGAAGGTCAGGGTTCTACAGTGGTGGCATAGTGGTAAGTGTTGAAGTGCAGTCTGTCATCATGATAATTCCCATCTTGATGCTCCAAAGGAAGATATGATAATGCCAACAGCTATGTTGATCCATATCTAGAAACCAATTTTAGCAGTGTTCCTTTCTACCATGACTGGGTCTTTGGTCATCTTAGCTGGGAGATTTCAGAGAGGTGTAATAAAAAAGTAATTTTTCCCAAGCTCTGTGTAATGCTGTGCAGCCTCTTAATCGCCTACTCCAGACTAGTCAGCCCTCAAATGCGTAAGAACAGGTATCTCTCAAAATTAAATAACATTTCTGGGAAAACTTGATTCTCTCCATTCCCTCAATTCTGTGAGGATTAAAGCTAAATTTAGAGGGAAAGGGAAGCCTAGAGGGGATGGTAGATGTCATCATCCCAGCTAATCCCTCTATCTGACCCCGTGAACCTTGCCTACACTGCATCACCATCTTGGCTCATCCACTGTGTGAAAGCAACTGGATTGCTAAATACAGAGGTTAATGTGTCATTTACTGCAGACACGACAGCATGATTAGAAGGGTTTGATAAATTTAATCTTTACAGTCATACTGAGTTTCTTCAAGTGGACAAAAATACAAAATTATGCATTTCACAGTGCATTTAAGTGCATTAAGTGCAAGCAGAGAAGATTACATTCTTTCATATTATATATGTGTTTACATTCACGTACAACTATTCACAAACTTACTGATGAAGGAAAATGCTGTATGACATTACCAAAACATTGCACAGATATAAAATAGAATAAAAAATAAAATACAAATACAAATATTATTTATTTTAAAAAAAATAGCCCTTTGACCTGTACATGTACTCTCTCTGACCAGCATCACTTTGAAATTTGGTTGCTTAGAGCATAAATATTATTAATAAAATAAGTATTTAATAATATTAAATAAAAGGCATCTAGGAATCTCTTGTTTCACACATGAAGCAGCTTATTGTCTTTTTCAGTATCCGTAGCAACTTCTTTGTATTCTTTGCTTGCAGTAAGTCTCCGCTTCTTGTTCTGGTACCTGTGAAGATTAAAGAGAGGCATCTCTTTAGAAAAATGTAAATTACATTACAGGCAATGGACAGCAGAGCCCATTGAACTAGTATCATTTGTTTCTTCAGGGCATTTCCTTAGTTTTTAAATTAGATAGAGAAAAGCATGGAGAGTGTGGTTCCCTATTCTGGAATTGTTCCATAGTATTGGCTCTGTCAGGTGTACACTTACAGTTTTCCAGGTTAAGCTGGAAAATTTCTCAAATGAATGTTGGCATTGAAGCATGATGTGAATTTTTTAAAAAATCAGACCAAACCAAACAAACTACACCTTCTTTGTGTCTTGATAAGACTCAACTCAGTTGTATGATGATTTATATTTGTGGAATGTTTTAACAGAAACAGACATGTATTTGGACACATGTGGCCTGCCAACTGCAAATGAGGTCCAAAAAAAGGAAAGAAAAATAGAAAAGTAGAGTCTAGTGCTACTATCTTGACGCTGCCATTCACCATAGCATGGCCAAGAGACCTGCTGGGATTTTATGTACATTCAGGAGGCATCAGTTACTTTGGCTGATGGCAGCTAATGGAGGAAATGGAAGATGCATGTCACACACATGACTGTAGGGCATGGCTGGCATGTGCCTGGCACCTCATCATTTGGCTACGGCAATTCATGTGATTCCTCTTGTGCGCATGTAAAAATCCCAAGAGGATTTGGAGCCAATTGTAATTCAAGGAGAGGGGAGGGATTCAAACCTGGAGAACTTCATAAGCACCTTCGGGGAAGAATTAACTATACCAAAGAGCTGTAGCAACTTTCTGCATATCGGTCGGGATATTCTGGGAGCTTTGCCTTTCCCTGATAAAAACCTAACTAGTTTGTGCCCCTTTAACAGCATCTTAACTTGCTGAGACTTAGAAGGCACAGCTTTTCCTGTGATTTTATTTTCACACCAAAAATGGGTTCACCTATTTACTTCTTGTTGTGATAAAAGCACTAGAGGCAGAGCTGGTAGAACTCAGCTTTAGGCCTATGACATGGAAATGTATTTGTTAATGTTTAGACAGTTTTAATGACAGAGGTGGCCATGTTTCAAAACAGTTTCCTTCCACTAATGGGTTATTGCAGGCATTAGAGGCACGGTAAGAAATTTGATTTGATAGAGAATATATCTCAGTTGCTTAGGTTTCTGGTTGCAAGCCAAACGTTCAGAGTTCAGTTTCCCACTGTGAATTCCAGAATTGCCAGGCGGTGTGGCATTGGGACAGGTGCACAGTCCAAGAAGGGAAGGGAATATTAACCACTTCTATGTATTCTCCACCTAGAAGACCCTGAAAAGGGGCTCCATAAGTTAGAATCAAAGCAAAGTGTGCTGCTTATACACCACCCCATAGTGCTTAAAGCACTCTCTGGGCGATTTACAATTATGCAGGCTACACACTGCCCCCTTTCCAGAGAGCTGGGTACTCATTTTACCGACCTCGGAAGGACAGAAGGCTGGGTCAACCTTGAGCCGGCTCCCTGGGATTGAACCCCAGGTCATGAGCATAGTTTTGACTGCAGTACAGCAGTTTAACCATTGTGCCACAAGGCTCCTCTACTTGAAAGCACATAATTATTGTTATTATTATATGCTCCACTAAAAGCTACTGCCAATTCCAGTCCTCTAGCAAGTTGGTCCCAATAATATCTGCCATAAATCGTCCTTCTGATACTTTCAGTGTACACATGAAGTATGAGGTGAAATGCCTTAATGCCATCTACACATGGATGTAGGCTCTGCTTCTCTTACAATTGCGGTTATAGCTCTGGAATGCATATTTTCTAAGATTTTTTTTAAAAAGGAGGAGATGCTTACCATTTGTAGAGGAAGTAGATTGCCAGTGAAATTGCAACAAGGAACAACAAAACTGAGAGTATTGTGAGTGCCAAGTATTCGTCACTCAGGGGCTTTTGGACAAGTTCAAAAGTGGAGTGGCCACACCGGACGCCAACATAACCTGCATTACACCTAGGACAGCAGAAAGAAGATTACATGTTAGAAATATTGCCTGCTTTCCAGTATCAAACAGATTACATGCCAAGAGAACACCAGAAAAGGAAGAGCTGGATGGGGCATACACACTATTAGCCACAGGGTATTCTGGGAGTATTAGTCCTTAAAAGTAACTTTTCCTAGCTCTGCTACTGACTTAAGTTCTTGGACTCTGTGGAGTAGCTCTATGGGTTTCAATAGGGAGCAATCCAGTCCAAACACAGTACTTTAGAATCTCATTGGTTTCAGCGAACAAAAAAACCTATGTACTAAATTTGGTTGTAAATCAGTGAGTTCTAATGTTGCTGTCAGCTTTGGTAGAATTATGTCCTTTAATCTGTTATATGAGGGCACTTTATTATTCACTTTATGAGATGTTCCATAATGCGTTTAGATATTTATACCTCATGTCCTTAGTTTGTTATGTAAATAGAGGACTAAGTCCAACAGTACATTTGCACTCCTGCGAATGCATATGTATGAGCTATCCAAAGTTAAGCACAGATGAAGATGAAAGGAATGTAAGAAGACTGAGAGGTGCTCACAGACAGGGGAGTATAGCAAGGAATAGAATGTAGGCACACCCAGTCTTTTTCAGAGTTTCCTGGACTCATCTATGATCAAAGCCCCCTCTTACATTATGTGGGATATCTTGGGTTTGGAATTCCAGGCTCCGAGGGGAGCATGGAAAACGTGTTGACTTTCTGGAGCACAATTCCCATACTGGCTCAGTACTGGCCCATTATGGACTGCGATCTCCAATTCTGGGGATTGCAGTCCAAAAACCTTTCCACCTTCTAGTCGTTGTAGCTCAAACACCAAGCCAGACTTCAAAGACAAAGGCCCCAAATTCGATGCTGCTGCTCCTGTGCCTTGAACAGCAGTGTGATTGGCAGAAATTAGACAGGTGAAACCTTTCTTAGTATGAAGATAAGAATATTCCCCTCCATTATTTCTGTACCAGGCTGTTGTTCAAAGGCGCAGGAGCCTATCCAGTAAGGGGGGGAAAGGGGGGGGAAGATACTTGAAGATCAGTACAAAGATATGAATAATTGTATGATGCCACAACATTTTCTTTTACCTGCATGAGTGCTGATCTAATTCAACAACGTATATGCACTGGCCATTCAAGCAGTAGTTTTTCATCTCCGACTTGCAATCTATGATCTGAACTTTAGCCATCCGTGGACTATTTCCTGTTTGAACTGGAATGACAAAAAAAAAGGCAATATGAAGTTACTGTCTTTGTGCAGAGGTCATCATAGCTTAAAGGTGAAGTACACACTTTCACTAAATCTCTTGGGTTTGATCTTTAGCAGCTCATGGTCTAAGACCCTGCAGTCCTATTGCCAGACCAAGGATGGCCTTTCAGATGTTGTTGGACTGTCCTTCTCAAAATTCCTCACTATTTACCACCTTGCCTAGGGTTGGAGGGAAGGAGCTGCAGCCTAACAACAATCCATAGGGGCCACAATTAGCCACAAGTGGTGTAGACCATAGTGAGATAGACCAAGGGTATAAGGCAACTTTACTATGTCCTCGTTTAGTACTTGCTTATCTCTGATGGGGACAGTTTATTTTTCAAATTAATGATAAAACTTTCCATTACTTATATGAAGTTGGTTATATGAAGTTGGAATGCTGCTGATGCAAGTGCTGCTTTAGGTTTGGAAAGGACCAGGCTTAAGAATGAATTTTCAGTGGTTGACCTGGGACCATCTCCCCACTCCCAGTCGGACCCATTTCACACAATGAAGATAGGTCAAATGGCAGGATTGCGGTAGGGGAAGAGTTACTTCCTTAACTAGAGCTCTCAGAATTCCCCAGCAGCAGGCCATGTTGATCAGGGAATTATGCAAGCTGTATATTAAAAAGTAACTCTTTCTCAATTTTTTTCTGCTGGTCGAATATTAGATGCTGCTCAGTTTCTTGTCTATGGTCATCTTGGAGGGAATCCTTGCAAGGATGAAACCTTGAAGTTCAACATAAATGAAAACAAAAATCTGAGAATATTTATCACGTCCCTACTGCGTGGCAGTTGAGTTTTTGCTATGTCTCTATTTTATTAATATGCATGAATTAAGGATACAGCCCACCTTTAAAATGTACTACATATTCTTTTGGAATGAAAGAATGAGATCTGCCCAATAACACAGGGTTGCTAACAAGACCATCTGGGAATGTCCTTTACAGAATGTAGAAATGTTACTTCTTATGGACAACAGTTCCCAGAATCCCTCAGCCACTATGGTCACAGCCTGGAAGGTTTGAGGAAAATAAATGGCTCTGGTCCTTAAATAGTTAAAGTATGATTACTCATGTGCATGAATATCAGCCATCTAGGTGGCACATTACCAAGTAATTTCATCAGAACTGTACCTGTACCAAGGAGCATACAGGTTAAATATTTACAAAATTAAGATGGGTGGGAAGATATTTAAATACAAGAAGGATGAAAATGGACTTATATATGCATAGATGATTAAGAGATAACTTAATCTGAACAGGCAAAGCCAGAAGAACTGGGGATTCTGATAACATTTTCAATATTTTAGTAAGTCATAGGAAGTCGGACTTACCCAGAGCAGTTGTGCAGTTTTCTGTTTTGTTTCTGCCACATAATGGGATCACAGTTGTACCAAGAATGACTTGAGAGAGCTGCACACCTAGTGAGAAAAAAACAATGTGCCGAGTTAATATAAAGGCATAGGGAAAGGGGGAATTTCTGAGGTCTCTCAAGCACTGACAAATCCAGGCATTCTGCCCTGTTTGTGCCACTCACACCATTCTGCTTCAGCTGAAAATTTGGCACAAGATTTACCTATGCCAATAATACCACTCCCATCAGCACTCAAAATAGCAATGCTACACCCAATTCTGATCGGAAGCTGATTCCTTTTTATGTTGTTTGGTGTGTGTGTGTATTGTCACACAGGTGGTCACACCCTAGGAAGCCCAAACCAAACAGGACTCTTTGTACTTGCCTACAGATTTCTAAACCTGTTCATGAGCAATGAATGTAATGCCCTGACTGCTGCTGATGCAGGTTTCCTATCTGCAATTCTGAAATTGTCCCCTGCTTCTCGCTCCTAATTTGTGAAATCTGTGTAATTTCACTTTTTCTATTTTGCTTGTGTGGTTGTAACTTGTAAATGCCATTAAAGGTTTCAGAACAGATTTATAAACGTGCATTTTCCTTTCATACGTTTTCTCCTGCTTACACAGATGTGCTTGTGGCAGAAGGCGCAAGGAAAAGCGAAACCACTACTGAATGTCAAGATTCAATGGGATTTCGGCACTTGGAAGAATCACGTTTTGAGTGAGAACTCCCAGAAAGTGACTATGCTGGAGGAGAATTCTTAGTTGTAATGCAGAAAAGCAACTTCTCTAAACTGTGGGTCATGTTTTTTTTGGATGCATTGATAGCAATCTTTCATCTCTCCCAAAGGCACCATAGAAATGATTTCACATATTTTAATAATAACAGGTTGACTATGGAGCTGCACTCCAGACCCTGCTCTGGATCAGTTCTGTAGAACTATGTTAGACCATCTTAGACTTATGCAGAGCTATCTAAAGCTCACTTAGGACTTTTATTACAACTGGCTCTTATTATAGGATTACAGTGGGGTCTCTACTTAAGAACTTAATCCTTATTGGAAGGTGGTTCTCAAGTTGAAAAGTTCTTATGTTGAATCTGCATTTCCCATAGGAATGCATTGAAAACCATTTAATCCGTATCTGCTCTTTTCCATCCATAGAAACTACTGTACTAAATTAAGGTGAATAAACCTTTTATGTACGTTTCAAGGAACTATTATGAAATAAAAGTCTTGTTTGTATCTTTAAGGACTGCATGGGATATAAATTAAATATTTTGTTTTAATTGAGGGGCAACATTGACATGCTTCAAAACAATCATACAGAATTTAACAGAAATATTACACAGAGGCTATGCAAAGGGAGACAAAGGTAACAGAACCCTTCCTATTAGATGAATGGTAATCTTTCAAGAGAATCCGCAACAGTGATGGAAAAAGTGACTCAAGAGGTGGAATGTGTTCTGCTGACTCAACCTGAGCCACCACCCTGCAGCCAAATTAAATAATACCACACAATACCAATAGTGGGTTTTGTGGAGGCTAATGACTATAAGCAACGAGGGCACCCTGCAAGTATATGCAGGAGCAGAATTAATCCTTTCCTTACAAAGCTGAAGGGAAGGGAAGCTTGCACATAACCTGAACTTTATTTCTAGACTTCATGGCTAGCAGATGCATGCAAACTGATTCCACTGAAAACATTTTACTTTCAAGAACTTCTATATGTCCTATTAGTGATGTTTGATCTGTTCATATTTTCAAGACATGCTTAATCAGGTGATGAACACAGCTGTGGGAAGACAGAGTTTGGTGACCCTTTAGCCGGATGCAAAATTCACAACATGGCCATGGCGGAAGATCAAGGGTGTTGATATTGCAAGCAACTACACTTGCCAAGTATTTAGGGCTAGGGAATGGGAAGAGGGAAGCCGTAAATCAGGCAAAGGGTGACACAGACCCCTGTAATAAGCAGGTTCTTCAGCAATTGCTGCCAGATAGAATGGAGGTAAAAATGCAAGGTGCCCAAAAATGCTTGGTAGGCATCAGACAGGGATGGGGGCTTGAGCTGAGGGACTTGCTGTCAAGTCAGACTTAAGTTGCACTGGTGACCTGACTTGGACTTGACTTTTTTCCCCAGTGACTTGGATTCTACTTGTGATTCGGAACCCATCCACCCCTCTCCTTTTTCGGGGGGGGGGGAACTTATTTTTAATAGGGAGTTGGCCTTGGGTCTTGGGACTTGAGACTCGGTACGAAAGACCTGGACTTGGGATTTGGATCCAAAGACTTGCCACCATCCCTAGCATCAGAGCTTGCAAAAACGTTCCCCCCCTCTTAATAACAATTCTCAAAATCTTCTGGGAATTGTAGCCCTTACCAAAGTAACTTGAATTACAACTCCCAGCATTCCTGGGCATTCTGGGAGTTACCAGCCAAAGGAAAAAAAATGCTTCTAGGTTCTGGTGTAACCACGTTCCTATATTCTTCTCTGTATACCAGTCTCTTACCTCAGTGATCTTCCTGATCTGCATTACTTTCCCTGCTCTCAAGTGCCCTTCCTAATTAAGTCCCAGTGATGTCAATGATAGGGCAAAGGAGATCCCAAGTATGGATAAGGTATTTGCCTTAAGGAGCAGTCCTTCCTCTAATCATTACCCGTTGGTCAGTTCGATACACCATTCTCTCTCCCCTTGCTCTCAAGCGCATCTAGTAGATTAGTCAAGTCTGAAGAAGGTGGAGTTATGTTTGCATTTAATACTATTACCTGGGTTACTAAACAAATACTGTTATCTTATCCTTTATAAGCGAGAGGATGGCTGCTTAATATGGCCTTACTGGAATGTTATAGTTATTGTTATTGCTGTGCTGGTGGAATGTTCATGATGTTTATCTTCCTGCTCTACTGGAAAAGTAGCATTGCTCTGCATTGCAAGCAGGCTTGCCCATACTGAAATATAAAGGCTGGTGCATGCTTGTGTCTTTATAAAGGGAAAATGCACACCACTAAACAGAGGGAGGCAGAAGAAATTAGTGATACAAACTTTCAGCTTCACCCCAAATTCTGTGCTAGTCAAAACCAAGTCAGTCCTTGGGCACAAGGGGTAAACTAAAAAGACCAGATGTGGTCAGGGAAAGAATTGGCTAGGCCTGATAGCTCTGTGTCCTTTTATTCACAGACCTCAATGCTTTCCCTCAAGCCTTTATCTCATCCATTTGTGCTTCCCTCATGTTTCTGTTTCTCTCTTTGCTGTGTCCTTTGTCCCTTGCCTTCAGCTTCTGAAGCTTTCGCTCTGTGGTACCCCTAGGTTTTAATCGTTCTTCTCAGTTTAATTCCCACTCTTCAGCCTAACACATTTAGCTCTTCGTTCCATACAGCCTCTGTGAGGTTTTATCCCCATAGCTGGCTGAAGTCATTTTTCAATTTAAAGCAGAATAACCCAACATATGCAGCCCCCTTTTCTTATCAAGACTGCTCCAGTTATTTTAACTCCTGAGGCAGAAAATCCCACAGGTACCAATAACATGTTAAATAGCAGTAGCAGCTCATGGACCAAGCAAAAGATGGGTCATCTATCAGAATTCCAGGGTGAGGCACCCTGCCCTCCATTCAGACCACAAACCCATCTATATTGAATAACTAAAGATCTGCTGACTTTTCACAGCACCCAAAATTCGCTGCTGGAGGCAATGGCCTCTCTATGGCTAATGGTAGGGCTGTCCATCAGCTGCATTATGGTTATTTGGTTGGAAATATCCTTATTCTTTAAGGGAATAGAAGGCTTATGTATGGCTAATGGTAGGGCTGGTCTGTCCATCAGCTGCACTATGGTTATTTGTTTGGAAATATTCTTATTCTTTAAGGGAATAGAAGGCTTATGGCCAACATGAGGTCAACCAATCAGCATCTAAGCTTTCAATGCCACAAGTCTGATAGAGGCTTATGCTTCTGGCTTTCTCATACATACTAACTCTTTCTGATAGCCTGAGAATTTTACATGAAACTAAACACCACAGATGATTTAAAGTAATAATAATTATGCCTTAAGAATTCCAGTATAGAGATTATGTCCACAACTCTGATCACCTACTACTAAGAATAACTGGATGTTATAAGTGAGCATGCACACAGTTATATCCAAAATGACACCACAAAGAAGGTCATGGGAAGTGTTTGCGTTCTTAGTGGGACCCCATAGTTTGCAGAGTATTAAAAAAAATCTTGGGCTCTAAATAAGTCATAAGCATGCTATGGTTAGGGCCAGAGAATCAATGGAAGACTGAGAATGGGTGGGTGGGCGCATTGAATGGAAGAGGGCATGCTGTCTGGCAGGAATGATGAACTTTTGATATTGCAACATTTTGGTTGCAAGTCTTGTACACAAATATGGCCTCTGGAGTGTCACTGGAATACACTTCCATATGTTGAATGGTACAAAGTCCTTCTGAAGGATATAGAACCATCACTGAAGTGGATAGGCTGCTAGTGTTCATTCCGTATCAACATATGTGTCAGATTGAGGCAACTGCCTCAGGCTGCACTTGGCGGGTAGAAGTGGTGAATTTGAAAGTTCATCACGATAGCCTCCACCTCATGACAGTTAAAAAAAATGCAGGCAACTGGATCCATCCATAAAAACAAACAAGGAACATATCGTTTTGTAAAGTTAAAGGCTCTTAATCGTTCATTCAAGAACAAACCACCCACACATATATTTCATTATAAGGAGAACTTGTAATTGCCTTTTTTCCCTCAGCTATTATGATGATTACAGCTAAGTTCAGAAGAAGAAAAAAGAAGCCTACGGAGGGAACGGATGTCATCACAGACAGTGCTACTCAGAAGGGCCCACGGCTTTGACCCTGCAAGCCCTAGTTCTACTGCACCATTGATGGACAGTGGTAGTAAAGTTAAAGGCTCTTAATTGTTCATTCAAGAACAAACCACCCACACATATATTTCATTACAAGGAGAACTTGTAATTGCCTTTTTTTCCCTCAGCTACTATGATGATTACAGCTACGTTCAGAAGGGGAAAAAGAAGCCTACGGAGGGAACAGATGTCATCACAGACAGTGCTACTCGGAAGGGTCCACGGCTTTGACCCTGCAAGCCCTGGTTCTACTGCACCATTGATGGACAGTGGTAGCTCCTCACAGAACCTTCCTGGGACCCTTATCTATTTCCAGTGGCACTAGTTTGGGACTCTAAAAAGCAGAGCCTGAAAAGTAATTTTTCTGAGCTCTGATTGTGACACATGTGATCATGTTAGCTCTTCTTGAAACACCTTTGTCTTCCTGGCCTCAGTGAGAAATGTACATCAATTGAAGCTGTCTGGGAAGGGCAGCCAGCAAATAGGAGTCCATGGACCGGGGACTTGCCCAAGAGAGTTGCTTCATGAGTACTTAGCACAGATCCTACCCAACCTATGCCAAGCATGGTGGCCCGCATTCCTGTAATTTACACTGCAGCCATAAGATGGGCCAAAAATACTCCCAGTACCTGTACAGCATGTTCAGTGGCGCCCGGGTGTCATCATGACTCTGTCCCCCTCCTGCCTACTTTTCACATGTTGGCTCAGAGGGTTTCTATTAAAGCTGGGATGTAAGGTGATGGGGAATTACCTGGCTCGGTGTTTTAAAAACAACAACAGAAACTGAGAAGCTCCTGTTGAAATGGGCTTGGCAGGGGAAGAAACACCTGCCCTGTAATTAGGAGGTGCAACCGGAGTGGCCACATTTCCTTGAGAAAAGCTCAGAATTGCAAGTCAGAAGGACACGGGCATAACGCAACTCTTGGGTCATTTAACAACCCGGTTAAGAAATCTTAGCAAGAAAAAAAAAGGGGGGCGGGAGGACATAGAGGTGTAGACCTATACAAATACCTGTTTCTAGCACCTTGTTGCAACTTCCAGGATGCACTTTAGTTCCCTGAAGCCTACAGTGTTGAAATGCAACCAGATTACACAACTGGACCTGAACTGTCAAGTGTAAAGGTACCACCACAATAAATCTGTTTGCTACAATACTGCTGGAAGCAAATACTGGGGACACTTTTCTACAACTCCCCCCCTCCCCAATTTCTAACATATAAAGCTGATCGAGGAGGAGGGGAGAAAGAAAAGGAGAAAACAAGGTTGCGGCTGTGCAGAGATTGGAAACCATATCCAGCTAGGATGGTCATTGGTCATGCTACCTGAAGGGTTCTGGGAACTAAAAAGTGACTTTCCAAGCTGTGATAAGCAGCTGGTTGAATTCTCAAGAGTGGTTTTTTTCCATGGTAAGGGGAAAGGCATAAATCATACCTCACTGGCAGTCCAAAGAGCTTCTTTAATTTTCTCCTCTGTCAGAGTATGGTTGCCTTTCACTCCTCAGGAGGAAAGGTGAGTGAGAACAACTAGATTTGGCCAAGTTCGTTTTTTTCGATTTCGACTCTCAGCATTCTCCAACAAACAGAGGGCTAATTCTGAGAGTTGTAATCTAAAATCAGTCAATCGTTTCCATGCTCTAATAAACAGCAAATTCATTGTGGCAGGAGTCACTACAGTGGGGAGAGACTTGTCCGATCTTGTAACCTGATCCTCGCTGGCAGGAAGTTAGGCCTGGCCCAGCTATTGGGCAGAGTGAGAGCGTGGCAGGTGCTGGGAGGCAACACCAAAGTGCTAGACTAGAGCAGGGATTGGCTATGTCCATTGGTCTGAGGGCCATGCATGTGGGTAGCGGCTAAGTGTGTCTGCGCATGCATGTGAGATCTCTGTAGAGAAACACAGATACCTTCTGGATCTCCAAAGATTCCCTGCAATATACAAGCAAGCTCCCTTCACATGTGCACTGTCTTTCCTAATGACAGTCCTTGCTTTTACTAGTCTGAAATAATGATCATGGGCACAACCCTGCAGGCAGTTCTCCAGGGGACACTCCATTGAAATGAATGGGCCTGGCAAAACAGCATTGCTCAGATGCATTCATGCGGAACCATATCTGTAGGCAACAAAATGGTCTCACTACAAGTATAGACAGATTTGGGAATGGAATGCATGAAAAATTGATTGCAGCAGAATTTGATCTCCTGAAGATTTTTGGAGGGTATGTTGTGAACTAAGTGTCAAGAAATTAGTTAGATAATTAGGTATGGAGCCATTTCATTCCTAGGAAGCACATGCTTATCTGTGTCTTTCTCCTTATATAATTCAAAGTCAAAGATCAATAGCACCACAATTATTACAAAGGTCCTGTTATCTTAAAGGTGAAAAATTCCAGTGTAATCCTGTAGATATACACAGACTCAGCAAATGTGATTTTTAAAACAAAAGCAATCTGCAGCAAAGCCTTGACAGCAGACAATGATTTCTGACATTAATGAGTAGAAGCACCAGTGGCAACAGTGGCAAGGAGTAGCACGATATGCCAACTCAAAGTCTATCAAAGATCCTAGGCATTTGTGTCCCAGTTCCATCCAGAATAGGCTACTGTAATGTGCACTACATGTGGCTGCCTTTGAAGATGGTTCAGAAGCTTCCTCTGGTGCACAATGCAGATGCCCAGATGCTGATGGGAGTTTAGAATTTGGAATACATTATGCCAATTCTACATCACCTAGTATTAATCTTCAAAAATTACTGTACTTCAGAGCAAGTAATGTAGAGCACCAACTAGGTCTGGAGGTACCTACCCAACTATTATGGTCAGTTATGGAGGCCCAGCTTGAATGGCCACAAGGCTGGAAGTTAGTTGGGCTGCCTCGCATGAAAGATGGCCACTGCCCTTCAGAGATATGATGGGCTTGCTCCATCTTTCATTTTGATGGTTCCTAAAGAAACTTAAAAGTAAAAAGATGTCCTCATGGTTCCTTAGTTATTGGCATTGTGGCAAAGTGGCTGAATTGATGGTTGTTGTGGGGGTTTTTTGGGCTCTTTGGCTGTGTTCTGAAGGTTGTTCTTCCTAATGTTTCGCCAGTCTCTGTGGCCGGCATCTTCAGAGGACAGGAGTCAGAACTGCACCAGAGCACAGACAGAATTCTGACTCCTGTCCTCTGAAGATGCCGGCCACAGAGACTGGAGAAACGTTAGGAAGAACAACCTTCAAAACACAGCCAAAGAGCCCGAAAACCCACAACAGCCATTAGATGCCAGCCGTGAAAGCCTTCGCAAATACATTGGCTGAATTGAAATGACACTTATTTACTGTTCATCGCTAATATTCTTATTGCTTTTATTTTTAATTGGTTTAATTTGACTTTAGTTTAGTTGGTTTGAGTTTTCAGTTCTACACAATGCATTCTGAATATCTTACATAAAATGTAAAGCTATATTACAGTCTGGGTTTAAAATCTGAACAATCAACTGTTCAAAGAACAGATGAACTCAGAAGGAGAGTGCTTAGAATTGTTCCCCTCTTCTTTTTTTGGACTATTACTTCCAGAATTCCTTGACCAGTATTGCCACTGGTCATGCCATCCTGGAGATGCTGGGACTTGTAGTCCAAAAGGTAAATTTTCCTTCCTCTGATCTCCCTCTGGGAGTTCCAGGAATCCTGATGTGGACCAGTTCTAAGTAAAACTTGTGCCCTGCTCCTCAGAGTTCTCTTTTGCTTACTTCCAAGTAAGCCCACTTAGGGTCAGGTGTTATAAACTGTCCTTCCTTACACTGCTGGCCAAATGATCCTTTTAATTAACCCAGACCACGGAAGGAAACCAGTCTTGAATCTACTGAAATGGTCGTAAAGCAGGAAACCCACCCAAAGCTAAACATAACCAGCAAACCACCCGGAACACAGCCATTCTGCTTCATTTTGAAAGCTAAGCAGAATCAGACCTGGTCAGGGTTTGGATGACATACCAAGGAGAGAAAGATTTTTTAAAAAAATCCTGCCTGAAACTTGGGAAAGCTGCCTGAAACTTTGATGAAGGACAACAGATCGATCACTCTATGATTCTACTCAACGCAAACCATTTCTCTGTACTGTATTCCTATGAATGAAAAACGCCGGCTTCTGGCTGTCAAGAAGGCAAAGCGGAGACCGGCTAGAAAAGAGTCGGTAGCTGTCACTTGGGAAGGGATCGCCAGATGACAGCAAGGCGGCAAACAAGCCGGGACCGGACGCTTTTCGGCCTGTCGCCCTTCCCCGCCGCAGCGCAGAAGGGAAAGTCATGATTGATCGGAGACGACGCCTTCTGGAGGAGAGAAGCGCACCGACGGCGCTCGCCGGGCGATTCTGGCCGTGCTGGACAGCGCCATCCTGGAGCGAAAGAAAGGTTAGCAGGCGAGGTGCGGGCTTACCTAGGAGAAGGAGGGCGCCTGCGATCCTCCGGGAGATCTGGCCGGCCATCGTGGCTCCGGGGCCGTCGGAAGGCGAGCAGAAAAGGGAGAAGTTTGGGGGAAAGCAGAGACGGTCGAACAGGAGCAGAGCGAGGCAGGCAGAGTCGGGCGCTTCTCCGGCTGCTCCTGCACGGCTGAGTCCTCGCCAGTCTCCTCTCCAGCGGGCGCTCCCTCGAGTTTATACCGTCCCCGAACGGGGGCGGGAGCGTCGGAAGGCCGGGAGCGGCGGAAGTCTACCGGACCTCCTCGAATTTCCCTAGTGATGCAATTCGGGGGCGGAGGTGGGGCGCGGGGGTGGGCGGGGGGAGGAAGAGGGGTGGGTGGGAGATAACGACCGTCACCTACTTGGCTGGCCTTCGGTCCGCGGGGCGTTGCTCGCTCTCGCTCTCTCGCTCTCTCTCTCTCCCGCCACCTGTCTTGCCACACCGGAGGCACAGAGACGCGCGGCAAGGATTCCTCAAGGGAGGAGGGAAAGTCACAAAGGACAGCTCTGGCGACGCCTGTAGGGCATGGCCGAGCCTCCAGCTGTGGAAGCAATGTACCTGAACCTTGAGTAGATCAAGAGGCCTTGAAAGCTTGTTAGGGGCTTGGGGGTACCTAGACTCGGACTAATGAAATATTTCCTTAGCAATGAGTTTGCGGAGTTTTCCTAAAGATATACAGTATTTTTCCAGTTATCAAATGCAGTTAAGATGATGCCTTCCTTTAGGAAAGAACAAGGTTCCCAGAACTTCGAAACCAATGCAGTTCGGTTTGATTTTGTTCTTAAGCAGAGCCCATGGCTGCCGGCTTTGGACTTCAGTGACCGCAGGGGGCTTGATCTGAGACCTGGCTCCCTCCCAGTCCCTGCTTTCTGTACAGCATAGGAACAAGGGATGCAGGGTTGTCTCTGAGCATACACAGTGTGGATTTTCTGGCCACTTTGAAATCTGATCGTTCATGGATGGGCACAGCGGGGGGGGGGGATAGTGGGACAGGACTTTTGGCCAACCCTGCTTCAAGAAGTTACTCGCAGTACTTGCTACCCATCTCTTCCGTTTCTTTCAGTTGATCAATAAGGGGAAGGTCACAAGACTGGACAATCTGGAATGCAGATAAATCCACAAACAGTGAAGTGCTACCACCAGCTGCCATAAACATGCTCTTTCTGCCTCCACTAGGGAGACATCTCTACATTGTTAATACAACACAACACAACACAGAAAGTGAAAAGAAGGCAATGCTAAAGTCAAATGCAGCCCACCCACTCAACAACGCTCTTTAATCCGCAGAGTGGGAAAACAAAATGCTGGCTAGGAATCCCACTCCAAAGCATTTTTACTCAGAAGTAAGTGTTAGAACTAGAGCTAGTAATTATAATCAGCCCACTTAAATCAGTGGCAAGAATCCTGATGGTGTTCAAAGAAGGTGCTTCAGCGCATCTTCATCATGTGACTGGTCATGTTTCCAGGGACATAACAGCAATGCACCTTGGACCCTCATCAGTTAGCTGCAAATAGTCATGGTGAGTTATGCAAACCATATGTGATTCTAGTCAAAGTGCCAAGATCAATATTCTCTAAGTATGACTTTGGATCTAACTTTTCTCACTGATTTAAACAAATCTATTCTAAGCATGACTAAGTGGGGATCAAATGTTGCCCATTGATTTCACTCTAAGTGGATAGAGTGTTGGAAGGACTCAGGAGACCTGGGCTCAAACCCCCACTTAGCCATGGAAACTTTCTGGGAGGTAGCACTGGAAAGAGCAACCCCTTAAATATTTCACAAAATTCAGAAACTCTGGCTGGACATTCATAAGACAGAACTGATGTGACATGTGACAGTAGATCTCTCTCTCTCTCTCTCTCACACACACACACACACACAAACACAC